ACATTTTAAGGCCGTTAGATTCAAGCCTGGTTTCTAAGCTGCCTACCTATTTTTCAATCACGTATTCCTTTCATTCTGGTATAGAATCCTTGTTAAAATTGCGACTAAAACACATTTAAAGTTCTTTAAGCAGTTCGGTCCATTATTTCTTGTTTTCCGTGATTGTCTCAGAAGCTTGATCTTAGAGCCCACGGGTCGCTCACTGGCCTTCACATTTTTGAAATCTTTCAGTGTTTCAAAGGATGCCAAATTAAATATATAGGCAATTTGTCTTACCAGCCTAGGTGCAACAAGTCCAAAATCTTTGATATATTCAGCTCTTTTTCAGTTTTTATATCCTGCTTTTTATGTCCTGCTTGAGTAGGGTTTACTGTCCCACGTTTTGAGTTTGACAAGTAACTCGATACACATCACCCCGCATTGAGCCTCACGCCACAGTTTTTAATCAGGACCTTGAAGAAATCTTTTGACACAATGATAAACTCGATCAAGTGTCAGTGCCTTTTTCTTGAACCTATTAAAGCAGCACGTATTGTCTTTTTCACAATGAATAACATATATGTTCCTGATAATTCAAGTGTTCCGTATATCGCTGATAGTTACTTAGCACTGTAGATTACTAACCCGATTTCACAATTACCAGATATCTTCCTCCAAGTTTCCCACTGCTTGCCAACCCATACACTGTAATCGCCAAGTAAAACCAGGGGGCCACTGGAAGGTAAAATACGGACTAGATCCGATCGACATTTGTGGAATCTATCCCATCTGCGCACCGGAGCACATGAGAGCTCATAAATGAAACAAACCTTGCCATCGATGGCCGAAAATGGATGGTCATTGTTCTCGAGTTGGTGCAGTTTGAGTGATATGTTCATTTTCTATTCATACGATCTGCACACGTAAATCTGACAGCCTTCGGGTGTTAATACACCACAAGGGAAGCACTGTTGGAGCCGGTCTCACGTACTTTTACTAGGTCAGCCGGCCAGGTCTTACGGACTGTACTAAAATCTATGCTGTGGTTTTTGGG